CCCAGATTTCTCCCCCAGCTGTAGGAAGCTCTGCAAACTCCCCACTCCCCATGCTTCCTGCATCCATCGCTCCTCAGCTGCACGGGGAGGGATCACTGTACAGGGAGCTGCTCCCGTATCCGCCCAGCCCCTGTGCATCCAGACCCCCTCATGCCCTGACCCTCCTGCCGAGCCTCACCCCTTCACACTCAGAACCCCCCCAACGAGCCCTGCCCCTGGACCACACCAACGAGCCACCCACACCCAGATCCCCACCCTCCTGAGCCCCAACCAGCTGCACCTGGATCCCCACCCCATTGAGCCCCAATTCCCAAGCATCTGGGCCCCCCACTGAGCTCCCCACACCCAGCCCCCCCACCGAGCTCTATCCCCCCCACACCCAGCCCTCCCGCTGAGCCCCAACCACCTTCATATGGACCCCCCTGCAGAGTCCCATTACAATTGTACCTAGAACCCCCCAACAAGCCCCTGTGCATCCAGATCCCCCCCTGCACCCATATCACCCACTGAGCCACCCACACCCAGAATACCCCACACAGAACCTCTCAACCTATACCTGGACCCCCCCCCCACCCCAATAAGTCCCTCCACACTTAGATCCTGCCTTGCTGAGCCTGCCTGCCCACACCTGGTGCACCTGGCACAGAGGGGCAGGGCCCTGGGGTGTTTCTGGGGCAGGCCCACTCCTTGTGCGGTGTCAGGGTTGGGTGCAGCCTCACCGCTGAGTCAGTGTCCCGGGGGTGTGTGTGGGGGGGGGAGCTGCACAGTGGCCTGTGCTCCCCAATGCTATGCAGGAGCCTCCACATTTATTTGACAAATAAAATTTGCAGATTTTTAAAATATTGTGCGCAGAATTTTTAATTTTTTTGGCGCAGAATGCCCTCAGGAGTACCATGTGGACACTCTAAGGTCTTATTTATTTTGGAATAGAGTATCCACGTGGGGAGCTATACTAGACTAGTTATTCCCTATAGCTATGCCAGTCAATTTCCCTGTGTAGACAAGCCCCAAATTCCAAAAGCTCCATTGCATACAGTTCTACCTCCCTGCCACTTAGAGGGAACAGTCCAGTGCTCGAGCAGCTCAATCTATTGAGTTTAACCAAGAGAAGGTTAAGGGGTAATTTGACCCCAGTTTATTTAAAGTACCTACAAGGGGAACAATTGATACGGGGCTCTTCAACGTGACAGAGAAAGGTATAATATGATCCCGTAGCTGTGAAGCTAGGCCCATTCAGACCGGAAATCAGGCACAAATTTTTAATGGTGAAGGAACCATTGGAACAACTTCCTTACGGTTGTAGCAGATTCTCCATCCCTGGCAATATTAAATCAAACTGGATGTTTTTCTAAAAAAATCTAGTTCAAACAGGAATGAATTCAGTGAAGTCCTATGGCCTGTGGGCACACTAGCTGATCACAGGAGTCCCTTCTGTCTTTGTAATCCATGTAACCTCTTCCATTAGAAACCAACGAGCCAGGAAAGGATCCTTTAGGACAGTGGTTTTCAAACTTTTTTTCTGGGGACCCCGTTGAAGAAAATTGTTGATGCCCGCGACCCAACAGAGCTGGGGATGAGGGGTTTGGGGTGTGGGAGGGGCTCAGGGCAGAGGGTTAGGGTGCGGGAGTGAGGGCTGCGGGGTGGGGCCAGGAATGAGAGGTTCAGGATGTGGGAGGGGGCTCTGGGCTCGGGCAGGGGTGCAGGAGGGGGTCAGGGCTCTGGGCTGGGACTGGGGATGAGGGGTTTGGGGTGCAGGAGTGGGCTCCAGGTTTGGGGAGGACTCAGGGGTGGGGCAGGGGATTGGGGCGTGGGCTTACCTCGGGCGGCTCCTGATCAGCAGCGCAGCTGGGGTGCTAAGGCAGGCTTCCTGCCTGTCCTGGCACCGTGGACCACACTGTGCCCCAGAAGCGACCAGTAGCAGGTCCAGCTCCTAGGCGGAGGTGCGCAAGCAGCTCCGTGCAGCTCTCGCTTGCAGGCACCGCCCCCCCAGTTCTCGCCCACAGGCAGCGCCCCCTCAGCTCTCACCCACAGGCCCCCCCCCCCCCCCAGCTGCTGCTAAGGGGTGATCTCCACTTGGGCGAGGCATGAGATCTCAGAGAATGAGCCTGCTGCAAAGGAACATTCCAAGTCTCTGGCCCATGTTAGGGATTTCCAAATAACCCGAGGGCACGTGGCTGAAAGCAAGATGCAGGAGAGAATACAGATGGCAATTGACATTTCCAGAGCACCTATCATGGCAAAGCACTTTACAGATTATACGGGTCACTAGTTCATCGACTGCTAAACTGCAGCCACCTCTGCTGTCAAACACGGCAGCTGTTTAACAGCATACAACATCATCCGGTGGAACTGCAGGGGGAGTTAATGCAGGAAGAATGTAACCACCCACGTAGGAACTTAGCCAGGACATTGGGGTTACTACCCTTACTCGTGCTAACAATGCCATTGGGATGTTCAATGGCCATAGGAGGTCAAGGCCTTCGTTTGAAGCCTGTGATGTCCCCCTACTCCATATTGGCTGCAGTAGTTACTCAGAGTCAAGAACACCACATAATGAGTCACCAAACCCAATTCCTGAAACATCTGGGTTTCCTGGAAGCTTACACCCCCAAGTACCAACCGCCCCTAACCCAGGGCCAGCGCTTCCACTAGGCGACCCTAGGCAGTCGCCTAGGGCGGCAGGATTTGGGGGGCGGCATTTTGCTGTCCTCAGCGGAAATTCGGAGGCGGGGAGTCCTTCCGCTCCGCGTCTTCGGGGCGCTTCGGCGGCGGGTCCTTCACTTGCTCCGGGACCCGCCGCCGAAGCTCTGCTCCAAAGCCCTGGTAGCATCTTTCTCACACAGTGATGATGGGCTGCCATACACCATAGGGCCATATCATTAGAGAGATTCAGCCATCAGACACTTAGCGTTTGACGATTGCACGCATTTATTCCATTCCCCAGCACGCGTTACACTTTCTTTCGACTCAGAAGAGAGTGGAACATAGGTTGTTTTTTGTGGGGGCGGGGGTCACATGTTACAATGGGGAGGAATACCGACATATTCAGATCGCTACACAGCAAAGCGGGGTCCTGCAGGAGCGGAAGCGTATGCCGTGGGAGGGAGCCGAACAACATTTACTGCTCTGTTTCTTTCAAAAAGAAAGGGCAGAGGATTGTTTACTAAGAAGCAGCTAACGGTAGCTTCTCGTCGCTTTTTGCATTCCTCCAGCGACGGAAGTTCTATACTATCAAACGGGAAAGGGAAAAAGATGAACTTGTGTTTTTCCACTATACAGCGCCCAACCTGGTGCAAACATGAGACTGCCAACATTGTCAAACGCAAACATTCAAAAATCAGCTCAGGCCCCTAAAAAAAATCACGAGATTGTTTTTAAAAGAAAAAACAATAACTGGCATTCGTCTCATTTGTCTTCTGGGTTTTGAATCTTCAGGGGTTGCGTCTTCAAGCTTTTCTGCACTAGAAACCTATCTTTTTTTTAAACAACAGCTGAGATTCTCCTGCAATCACGGGACTCCAGGAGCTGGAGCTTTAAGGAAAACACCAGATATGACAATGGCAACACTGGGACTTCCTGTGATCACGCTCCAAGAAACTCATTCAGGTTCCCTATCTGAATATTAATATAAACCTCTTCCTTAACAGGCCCCCACTCCATCTCGCTGGGAGACACTTGCTCCATGAGGCCAGTTTTACATCCACTCTTCAGCGTCATCGTGGGGTAATAAGGGAAACAGATAGCACAGAGCCAAAAAGTGGAGTGGGGCTGGGCATCAGAAACATGGACCTCCATGCATCTGAAGAAGTGGGTTTTTTACCCATGAAAGCTTATGCCCAAATAAATCTGTTAGTCTTTAAGGTGCTTTAATGTCCCCATAATGGGACATTCTTCTGCTCACACACACCGCCTGGAGCATATGGGTAGTGGCTGCCAGTCATTGTAATTTACAACCCACACCTCTCTCTCTACACATGCTTATCTTCCTAGGCAGTGAAATCCTTCCCAGCCAATCTAAGGGCAGATCTAGAACAGCAGGTGAGGTTATCTGGGGACTAGAGTGGGACTCGGAGACTCCCAATACACCATCCCACGTTCCCATCACTTTAAAGTAATATGCAGCACCTCTGTTGTGCTTTTCAAACATTATCTCATGACAACCCTGTGAGGTTCGGCACTATCATTAGCCCCATGTCACAGATGGGGAAACTGAGGCACAGTGTCGCACAGCGACTCGGTGACAGAAGTGCCTGGGGCCTAGCTTTATGCTCAGTAGACAATACCTCTTTAATGATACCAAATAAATACCCAGAGCTGATAAATACAAGCAAAGGGAGTTACTCTAACATCCTACCTGTTTGGCTGGGGTTTTTTTAAACTACATGGGCCCTTAGCTACATTCATACAGCTGCTGACTACAGCCAGTTTAGGGACTGGGAGATTTTTTTCCTCATACTTTTTTTTTTTTTAAAAACGTTATTATTTTTTTTTTACAAAAATAAAAAAAATTATTTTGCTGAAAATCCGGAGAAGGAAGCAGCTGGATTCTGGCCGATGTGCAGTACCCAGATGCGGACAGCTGTTTTGGCACTCAGCAGAGCCGCTAACCTGCTGAAAGGGGGACTTTGGTTTCTGGCTCAGAATCACCAGAATTTTACACAAACCAGGGGTCATGCACTGAAATGAACAGGCAGCAGGTTTAAAACAAACATAAGGAAGCACTTCTTCACACAACACACAGTTAACCTGTGGAACTCTCGGCCAGGGGATGTTGTGAAGGCCAAAAGTATAACTGGGAGTGGGTTCAAAAAAGAATGAGCTAAATTCTTGGCAGATAGGTCCATCCATGGCTATTAGCTAAGATGGTCTGGAACACAACCCCATGTTCGGGGTGTCCCTAAACCACTGACTGCCAGAAGCTGGGACTGGATGACAGGGGATGGATCACTCAATAAATTGCCCTGCTCTGTTCAATCCCTCTGAAGCATCTGGCCCTGGCCACTGTCGGAAGACAGGATACTAGGCTAGATGGTCTGACCCAGTAGGGCCATTCTTATGTTCTTTGCTTTTTTAGGTTTGCTTGCAAATTTAGCCAATGCAGTTTAACGTCCAGGGCACTGGCTTGGTCAGTATCCTCTGGACACAGAAGGCGGAGAAAGGTGACATGATTAACTCTTTCCGTCCCATTGCACACAAGCACTGGTTTGGCTGATCTGTGGGAAACGAGCAATGGTGCAAGATTGAAAGCCAGTTTCGAATCACTCTCTCCTGGTCTCTGGGCCAGATTCTGATCTCCATGACAGCCGTGTCAGACAGGAGTCATTCCCAGGAGGGAAAGGCAAAGCTTCCCCAAGCCAATGGCTCATTGGGCTGACACAGTTAAGGCACATCACTTTCACAGCCAACGGGACACAAGGGATTGATGTGGACCCTGGCTGCCCTAATGTGATGGAGCAGGTACCCATTTCGCAGTGGTGAGATCATCCTAGCACGGGATCAAGCAAGACTCATCCCACAACCTTCAAGCTGGTAGGACAGCATCTACACCACTCAGCTCCCGCACGTCTTCCTGTGAGTGCCATCCAGATTTACACAGGTCTGACTGAGCTCAGCCGCTAACTTTCCCTCCCTCCCTTTTCCTTTTCGATCTGAAATCCCCTCTAGCTGGAAGCCCTTCTCCATCTGTCCCTTTTCAGCGCAGTTGCTTAGAGTGGTGGATTTGAGCCAGTCGTGCCGAATCAAACCTTAGATCCCGCCCACGGCCACCAGTTTGTTGTGCAGCAGCCTCTGCATGGCGCCGATTGAAACCGCTGCAAGACGGTAGCTGAAGACGATTGCTTGAAGGCGGAGCTGGAAGCGCCAAGTCAACGCAGTGACTCTGCATTTACCCCAGTGAAAGCTCAGAGTGTGAGCGTCTGGATGATCACTCTCCCTTCCTTTGAAAACACAGGCCAGGCTGGTAATCAGGGTAACTGTGCACAAGAGACCGCAGAGAGAACAGACTGGATCATGACTCCGAACGGGTCAGACTTGGGAGTTTTCCCTTTAAACAACATGGATGCTAAAAGGCTTTAGCACCTAGCAGCTGCAGTTGGAAGAGATCCACCCATGCATCGTCTTTCCCCCAGCAGCACCTGGGAAGGATTGGTCCTTAAAGAAGCATTAGAAAGCCACATCATGGAAACCAGCAAACTCCTATCGCCCAGCAGCCTTGGAACAAGCAAACTCCCAGTCTGGACCAGTGCCCATCAGACAAGCTGGATGCTAAACTGGGATCAGCATGGCAGCAGGCCTACTGGCCCACTGAGCAGCAAAATAAATAGTCCATTTACCCTCCTTGCCTCTACTTTAACTATCCCTCTCCCCGGCTCTGCCAAGTTTAGTCGTGCCTTACATTTTGGGAAGGAGGCTCCTGGGTTATCGATGGCTAGCAAAACCCCCACCGTAACGGCTGTGTTTGCTGATGGGACGCCCAAATTGGAGCGTTAGGAGGACTCCCCTGGAATTTTGTTCCTAGAGCGTCGCATGTTCTGTTTGGGGTTTAAAGGGAGAATCTTCGGGAGGGAGGGTTACAAGAAGAAAAAGAAAGAGAGGTCGTTGGCAGTGTAATGAGATCTCCGCTTGGATGGCAGAGTCTAGAGCAAGAGGATCGTGATGACAAGGAATAAAACACCAGCGGCCACTGTCACGGAGAGCTGTGGGATGCAGGCAGTGTTGAGCGTGAGTTTATAGGCAGTAATCTCCTCTAGGTAGCCGTCCTCCGTGGCTGTGCATTTGAACAGCCCCTGGTCCATGGGGGCGTTCTCCCCAAAGCGCAGTGTGCAGGAGTGCCCGTCCATGGCACAGGGGTACTGCTTGCTGCCGTCTTTGACCCAGGTGTAGATGGCGTGGTGGGAGCGCAGAGGACACGGGAGGTAGATGTAGCTGGTCGGGTCCACACTCACCTTTTTCAGGGCTTCCTGCGCTACTTGTTCTTTGAACGGAGGGATCGGGGGTTAGAGCATAAAGGAAAAGGTGGTGGGGGAGAGGAGACAGAACAGGGGAAAGAATGAGAGATCCATAGTTTGGAGGCACAACATCCCAACCAAATGCAGCCCCAGCCTCTGCGCACACGGACACCCTGGGCCTCGACAGCGAAAAGCCCGCGATCTGCTCTATGTAGAACCCCATCCAAGGATCTCAAAGTGCTGTGTGTCTCCCAGCACTGCACCACAGAGGTGAATGTGATGGTGGCCATTTTTTTTTTTTGCAGAAGGGGAAGCCAATGCTCTGGCTGAAGGACTTGGCTCAGGATTCTTTGGCAAGAGAACCCAGGAGTCCCAGTTTCCCTCTTCTGGGCATGAGAGCAGTGCTCAGCACATTGGCTGCAGGCCGGGGGCTGAACTCTGCTGACAATCTGGCTCTGGGGGTCGCAGTGGCAGCTGCTGGGAACTTTGGAAAATTCAGCCCTTATTTAGGCGCCTGTGGGTATGTCTACACTGCAGTCCGGGGATGTGATTCCAGATCGTGTGGACATACCTGAGCCAGCTTCAATCTAGCTCTCTTGGCTCCAGGAGGACGTACGCACAAGCCCGCCCCCTGGGTAATTGCTCGCAGGACTAGCCCACACTGGAGCGCCGGCTATCGCAGCTTCACTGCTTTGATACCTGAGCTAGCTAAATCAAAGCTGGGTCGGGTCCGTCCACTCGAGCGGCCGTCACTCACACCCCAGGATTGCAGTCTAGACATGCCCTAAAGGGGACCTGAACTCTTTGGGAAAATCTAATCCCAGTTGGGAGTGATGAGCACGTGCAAATCTGGCCCGGAGTCATTCTGAAAATTCGACACTGCCCCCTGGCCCAGGGCTGGGAAGAGAACCCAGGAGACCTGGCTCCCGGGTCCCCCTGCTCCAACCATTCTACCACCCCGCACCGTATTACTGGGGTGTTTGAACCATTACCACAGACTCTCTCCTCCCGGCAGCTAGCACAACCCTGGATTTATGGCACGGTCTCGACCAAACCATTTTCCTGCCGTACCTTGGTCTCAGCTTTTGAAGCTGGAAATGCACCAATTCAAATGGAGGGGGGAGGCACTTTGCCAGCAACAGGGTCCTCACGCAGCTTAGCAGTGGGGAAAGAGTAACATTAGGCTCTCGCTAAGGCACTAGAGTTTTGGGGCCGTCTCCCTCCACTGCCCCAGCGCTGAGCCCTGCTGGTAGTGAGAGCGGGCATGCTAAATCCCTGGCACTTGAATGGCCTTGCCGGCTAAGCTCGGTGCAGAGCAGGAAAATCCCATTGCTGCAGCTGCAACGGGAGACTGGAGGCAGACGGGTCTAGCTCAGACAAGGCCTCGCAGTCCTGAGAGACGCCGCTTGTTTTTTCCATGCCCACGGGGGCAACAGCGAGATTCCCTCGGGCAGATGGGCCTTTTGTCATCGGCTTTTCAGGGAGGGTCTCCTCCACGGAGGCAGCAACTGTGTGCAACCCGGGTTCCGCCAAGGCCGAGGCACCTACCTGCTGCACCTTCACACACGTCCTCGGCCTCTGGGTCCAGGCTCTGCAGGAAGTTGCTGCAAGGAAAGGCAGAGAGAGGGGAAATCATTCAGGAGGGTGGCAAGGGACCCGTGACTGTCGCATCCTCATCCAGGGGATTGAGAAGGGACTGTCATTTTAACAAGGGCCAATGCCCCCCAGGAAGGCACAGCTTCCCCCCTCCCGCCCCCAAGCTGACTCACTCTGTGGCTCCGACATCTTGCAACACAGAAATCAGGACCTAGCGCTACATACAAGAGCTTAAGGTGAGTTGTGGGGATCTAGCCAGACTTCCTGCTAAGATACAGGATTCTCCTTCATTCTGGGTCCTATTGTGCAGCACTGCCGGGCCCTGTTCTAGTTCTCTTGCTGTAGCCCAGAGGTGGCTGCATTTCTTATTTACCCTTCATGATGGATGACTATGTAAATAGAAGTTATTATCCTTTCACAAAAAGGGTCTGCTTTCTCTAGCAAAATTCATTTGTTTGTTGAAACACTGAAATAGCTCAGGTTGGATATATTGCTGCAATGCAGTGCCTCATGGGAGATGTAGGTTGATTGTTTCATGTCCCCATTCTCCGCTATAGACTGAGCTCCCCAGCTAGTCTACCATGATGCACCACGGCGAAAAACTCCCATGATGCACTGCCTCTCCAAAAGGCAGGACCAAGGTGCATCATGGGAGTTGTAGCCCAGCTGTGGCGCACAGCCTAGGGAGGAGAATGGGAGCTTGAGGCGCATGAACTACAACTCCCATGAGGCACCATGGTAGCATTTCTGAATTTTTCATTATTTGAATTTTTGCCATAGGAAAAAAATCTCATTTCCTGACCAACTCTACAGCCAAGCCATTCCCCTGCCATAGCCTTTGTCTATGTTCGTAGTATGGGAGGTGCCCTAAAGTTGTGTTCCAAAAATGTGAACGGGAAGAAATTATACAGATGGGCAAACTGAGGCACGGGGAAGTGATTTGGCCAAGGTTATACAGCGAATCAGTGGCATAGCTAGGAATAGAACCCAGGTGTCCTAGCTCCCAGCCTCATGCTCTAACTAGTAAACATCTCTCCCTCCCACAGCTGGGAATAGAACCCAGGCATCCTGAGATCTCCCTGTGTGACAGATGCTCTAACCAATAGGCCATGCTGCCTTCATATTACTGTGTGTATGTTTACAGCTACCAGCTCCTTTCATTTCCTCCCTCTCTCCCCAACTTGACAAGACCATTGAATGGATGGCGGATTGGGAGCAAAGCATTCCGCCTTTAAGCCCGAGCACACCTGGCCGTGTCATTTGCCTCTCGGGAGATGGCCGAGCATTTTTTGCTGTCTGGATCCCATCCGCAGTACGGGTCCTTGGCGAGGACACACTTCCAGCAGGTCTCCCTGTACTGCCCGCAGTCTGCCAGTGGCAGGCGCGTCACCTCGAACTCAGTGGTTACATAGAGGTGCCCCTGCCAAGGAGGGGCTGGGTTAGTCAAAGGTTCAAACAAGCAAGAGAGGAGGCCGCATGCTCTGGAACTGACGGGTGCGATGCAAACTGGGGCCAATCCCTTTCCAAGCAGAAGCACTTGCAAAATTCCCATTGAAATCTCCACTGGCAGCAGGATTATGCCCGTAATGGACTTCACAAGCAAAAGCACTTGGTGGGGGTGGGGGTCTGTCTTAGAAACAGGTGTTATGTTCACGGCAGACACACTGAGACGTTAGACAAAACCAAATACTCTTGCTGGAAGGTTGCAGCATAACACGACCTTCCTGCTTAGAATCCAGAACCCTGACACATAAGAACCCCAAAGCAGTGAGAGACAAAGCAGGCTGCTCCCTAAAACAGCGAGGCACAACCCACTCCGCCTTACTCAAGGCTGCCTCTCTGCAGACTAACTGCTGCTAGACCCAGCCTGCCAGCAGGACCAAGAAAACCCCGTAGCATTTAGAGAGACAGCTTGCAATATGCCACAGCCCCCAGTGTTCAATACAGAGCATAGATAGAGAGGGGGAAGGGCGCTTACTGTGGAGGCATCCAGGGCCATCCCTGAGATGGGCGCGTCTCTCTGGAAAGGGCTCAGCTCGGCGATGATGACCGTCTGCCCTCCACTCTGCAGGACTTTGTGGATCTTCCCTTTATCTGCAGCGGCCAGAGACACAGGGAACTCAGAGGAAGGAGCCCGGCCCCCTCGAAGGCGATGGGAGCTTGGCCAGGGTTTCACCTGCAGACAGCCAGAGGCCTCTCTGCATGCCCAGGACAGGCAGGGTCCGAGCAGGGACAGGGCTAGTTGCCTTCCATGGGCCTGCCCCCACGCCCCAGCTCTGCCCTGGAGGGACCCACTGGAGGGGAGCGCCATCTCCGGGGCCCAGGCAAGCCCTTGGCCTCTGCTGGGGCTGCCCAGAAAGGGGTTAACATGCTGCCTGTGGTGCTCCCGGGTTTGTGATATGGACACCTGGGTTTCCCCACGCCCCAGCTCATATCACAAGGACCAGCAAGCAGCCGGCGCTAGAGTCAAACTGGCGACCTAGAGGCGAGCCAAGCCCTGAGCCAGCTGTGTCCTGGCCTACACTTCACCTCACAGGGCCAGCACAAGCGCTGTCGGGTAGAAGAGACTCTCCTGGGGGAGGAATCACCAAGGTCAATGTCTGCTCAGCAACGACCAGGCCCTCCAAGGAGGCACAGACCCCACCTGACCCGTGGCTGGCGTGGGGCGGATGCCGCACGTATCTCGCCCTGGGATCTTCAGCTGCCTGACTTCTTGGGGGAGTGGGGGCTAGTGCTTAGAGCAGGCAGCTGGGAGTCAAGACTCCTGGGTCCTGGCTCTGGGAGGGAAGTGGGATCTAGTGGTTAGAGCAGGAGGGCTGGGAATTCCTGGGTGCTGTTCTTGGCTCTACTGTGTGGCCTTGGCCACTTTGCATCCCCACACTGACAAAACCTAAGCACCCAGATGTGGCTCCACAAAGGCTGAGTCCCAGAGGGAACATCCCCAGCTCCCGCCACACCTACCCGTCCCAAGGTAGAGGACAGTGCGAGAATTGTTGCTGGCGTCCAGGACCCTGTCAGCCACCACCTTGGTGTAGGTGTCATTAGTCTGCAGCATGTACAGGGGGCGCTGCCCCTCGGGGTAGATGACGGTCTCGATCTCGGGGTAATCTTTGACGATGCTGAGGACGGCTTTGGAGGGGGCGCTGGGGGAATTGTAGGGGACACACTATGGAAAGAACGGAAAAGAAAGGGGGGGTAACAAAGAGGGAGGCCAAGTTCTGCACAGACAGACCCTCAGGCTCCTCCAGTGATGTCTACGAGGAGCCACCCAACGCAGAGCTCATTCTGGGCGTTATCCAGCAGAGGGTCAAAGAGAGTTAGGCACCTAACTCCTACTAGAATCAATGGGAGTGTGACACATGGCCAGAAAGGGTTAAGCAGCTCGCAGGCTAAATGACGCAGAGTCAACCTATAGAGACATGTTAGAAAAGTATGTAGATGGTGATTAGGGCCATTCTATGTTAGATAGGCTAGAACTTAGAAATGCAAACCTGCCTTGTTAGAAAACTAGAGGTAATTCCAATTGTATGTGTTGACTTATATCTTTTTAGATGTTAGCCCTGTAAACAGACAGTTTCTGTCTATTATTATAGCTATTGATTCAGAGATCAAAAGGGAATATTAACATTTATGAGTAATGGTCTCAAGTTGCAGTGGGGGACGTTTAGGTTGGATATTAGGAAACACTATTTCACTAGGAGGGTGGTGAAGCACTGGAATGGGTTCCCTAGGGAGGTGGCGGAATCTCCTTCCTTAGAGGTTTTTAAGGTCAGGCTTGACAAAGGCCTGGCTGGGATGATTTAGTGGGGGATTGGTCCTGCTTTGAGCAGGGGGTTGGACTAGATACCTCCTGAGCAGGGCCGGCTTTAGCAAGAGCGGGGCCCGATTCCTGGGGGCGGGGCTTGCTGCAAGCCCTGCCCCCAGGAATCGAGCCGCGCTCCGGCTGGGGTTGCCGGGCTTGGGCCGGACCCGAGCCGCGCCGCGGGAGCCTGCGTGCTCGGCGGGAACGGGCCGCGCCTCCCCGGAGCCCTTCTCGCGCCCCCACCACCCCAGCTTACCTTGTGCTGCCTGCTCGCCCCTGCTTCTTTTCAGACTTCCCGCGAATCTCTGATTCGCGGGAAGCAGGGGAGGGGGCGGAGCGTTCAGGGGAGGGGAGGAGGGGGAAGTGAGCTGGGGGCGGGGTGGAGAGCTGCAGCGCGGGGCCCTCTTGGCGCAGGGCCCAATTCAGCCGAATCGGCTGAATCGGCCTAAAGCCGGCCCTGCTCCTGAGGTCCCTTCCAACCCTGATATTCTATGATTCTATGATTTAGACCAGGGGTGGCCAACCTGAGCCTGAGAAGGAGCCAGAATTTACCAATGTACATTGCCAAAGAGCCACAGTAATATGTCAGCAGCCCCCCATCAGCTCCCTCCTCCCGCCTCCGCTCCCAGCGCCTCCTGCCCACCAGCAGCCCCACCGATCAGTGCTTCCCCCTCCCTCCCCACACCTCCTGATCACCTGGAGTGCAGGAGGCTGGCGGGAGGGGGAGGGGGAGGAGCGAGGGCACGGCAGGCTCAGGGGAGGGGGTGGGAAGGGGTGGAGTGGGGGCAGGGCCTGTGGCAGAGCAGGGGGTTGAGCAGTGAGCACATCCCTGCCCCCCCCCCCCGGCACATTGGAAAGTTGGCACCTGTAGCTCCAGCCCCAGAATCAGTGCCTATACAAGGAGCCGCATATTAACCTCTGAAGAGCCGCATGTGGCTCTGGAGCCACAGGTTGGCCAGCCCTGATTTAGATGAATTTTGGGTGAAATAATGTCATTGTCTCTATGTCTCTTTAAAGTTTGTGGTAAACTGTATATGAACTGCTTAACGGATAAATTATCTAATGTTAATCCAGGTAGTTGATTACTGGTGATGTTTAGGAACCAGCAGGTTACATCAAAAGGCTTTTGTTCACCCAGGACTGTATGGTCAAGAGGCTGCTAGAAAACTGTATAAAAGGCTCTTGGGATCCGATCCTTTCATCTCAGATCTGCTTGATGCTTTATGCAGGGGAAACTTGAGTCATAAGACAGAGATCTCCAGTCCCACCTGGACCACCCTGAATATGAACATTGGACTATAACCTCTGGACTAATTCTGAAAGAACCCTTTGCAACTACAAAACTCACCATCTCTACTGTGAACCTGATCTCAGACCTGTACTGATGTCTGGATGTGTACTGATCTTTTAACCATACTCTCTCTCTTTTTTAATACATTTTAGTTTAGTTAATAAGAATTGGCCGTAAGCGTGTATTTGGGTAAGATCTGAAATATTCATTAAGCTGAGAGGTAATGGGTCCGATCCTTTGGGATTGGTAGAACTTTCTTCTGTGGTGAATAAGATGTTCAGTAATCCTCATCATATTTGATTTGGGTGTCTGGGTGGGTTGCTTTAAGGGAACTGAGTTTTGGCATCTGGGTAACCAGTCAGGTATTGTAGAAGCTGATTTGAGGCTAGCTTGGTGGATCTAAGTACTGGAATGACCACCAGCTTTGGGGACTGTCTGCCCCATTCTTTGCTGTTTGCCCTAATTAAGTAACCGCAGTGTGGCTCCCCTGGGACCCCGTCACAGGGATTTAGGCACCAAAATACCTTTGAGGATCTGGACCTAAGTGCTCCTATGGGAGCTGAGCGAAATTTTTCGGACAACACTTTTTTCTAACAAAAAAAAAATCAAAATGCAGGATCGGCTCAATTGAAACATTTCGTGAATTCGCGTTGGCTTCGGCAAATTGTTCTGGGTTGAAAAAAAACCCTAACAATTTTTTCAAAAAATGTTTCGATTCAAACCGACTTTTTGGTTTGAAATTCCCTTTAATTTCGCTTTTAAAAAAGGAGGCCAAAGCCCCAAACTGACATGAAACTTTGTTCGCCCCAAAATGAAAATTTTTGACTTTTTGATGTGCCAATTTTTTTTTTTTTAATTTCAATTTTGGGTTGCCCCAAATGATTCTTCCCCCAATTTTCCGGACTTGCCAGTGAACCGAAAAATGTGTTATTCGCCCAGCTCTTGTGTCCATGAGATTGCAACGGTCTCTGTGCTAATCCGTCCGTCCTCCCTAAACGCTTCCCTGTTCATGTGCACCTGCCCCCTTCAGGCACCCACGTGGGACTCAGGGGGACCAGGTTCCAACTTGCCACTGATCTGCTGGGTGACCTTGGGCCAGTCCCATCCCCTTCCCAGTCCTCCCTCCAGAGCACTGCACTGCAGCTACTAACCCTCTCCCTGCCACAGGTTCAGCTTGCTCCCAAAGATGTGACAGGGCCCAGGCGTCTGGTGCTAGGGGGTCCCGTGGAGAAGGCGCTGGCAGAGTGGAGGAGAGACGGCAGCTGTGAGGTGCTGAGGGCAGCAGGAGGTGAGGGGAAGAGATGGCTGGTTTTCGATTGGAGGGATGGGGGGCTGTGGGCAGAGGGATGAGTGGGGTTGGACAGGAAGCTTGGTCCTGTGGAGATAATTTGTTGTTTACAAATTCCCGTGGAAAGGAGGAAGAGCTCTGGGTTGTGGCCGCATTTTATTTGCAAGCGTTTAAAAGGGGTGCTCAGTGCTTGGCCTGGACCCCTCCCGCCTAACTTCATGCAGCTCCCAGAAAGCAGAAGGGCAAAGCTGAGCTTTCGAAATGACCCCGCGGCCACTTGCAGTCCCCTGTGACTGAGATCGGGCCCTTTGCGGCTGCTGACTGCCCCGGGCAGCTCTCTGGTAATTCCCTGCAAGCCACAGAAGCTCAGAGTCCCCACCGCACCTCCGTTCGCTGTCAGAAACGGGGGTCCCTTCGTTACTCCTGGGGAGCTGTTTTGGGACACGAACCCCGCCCCGCGCGGGCCTCACCGTGCCAGGTCGGTGCGCTGGCAGGACGCTGGTGTAGCCCTTGAGCTTGGAGGTTTTGAAGGCATGGGTCACCTTGTCCATGGAGTAGGCACACACGGCGGTCGTGCCCCTGCAGGGGGAAAACACTCCCTTCAGGCTTTGGTGGCTGGCAAGGCAGAGCTGGTTACCGCTGGCGCTGGGCGCTTTGTGCTAGGACCTGAGCTCTGAGGCCCACCCAATGGAAATGACTGGCAGGCGCGGCAGACCCGAGCTGGAGTCGAATGGGGGAGCCAGCACCGAGTTATTTTCCCTGCTCGGGGAGGGGGGGGTAGAGAAGGAGACTGGCCAGGGAGCTCGGACGCCTTGTCATTGTCTTCCGCCTCTTTGCCCAATGGATGTCCTGCCTGTCTAAGCAGCTTAGGGTGACCAGACAGCAAGTGTGAAAAATTGGGACGGGGGTGGGGGGTAATAGGAGCCTATACAGTAACTCCTCACTTAAAGTCATCCCGGTTAACGCTGTTTTGTTGTTACGTTGCTGATCAATTAGGGAACATGCTCGTTTAAAGTTGTGCAATGCTCCCTTCTAACGTGGTTCGGCAGCCGCCTGCTTTGTCCACTGCTTGCAGGAAGAGCAGCCCGTTGCAGCTAGCTGGTGGGGGCTTGGAACCAGGGTGGACCGGCAGCCCCCCTATCAGCTCCCCGCTCCCCTAAGTTCCCTCTGCAGCAGCTGCCCAGCAGGCTAGCAATTGCAGCTGTCCCTCCCCCCACTGCCATGTGCTGCTCCTGCCCTCTGCCTTGGAGCTGCTCCCTGAGACTCCTGCTTGCTGTGCAGGAGGGAAGAGGGGGGCTAATGTCAGGGTGTCCACCTCCCCCCTGCTCCTGCACCCCGCTTACCCCATCTTCCATAGAGCGGGGGGGACACAGGACAGGGCTCAGGACAGAGGGAGCTTGCTGGCAGCAGCAGCTGCAGACTCAGCAAGCTGATCTAATTAACAAGGCAGCGTACTTAGAGTGGGGCCAGCGTACTTAAAGGGGCAATGCGCATCTCTCTCTCTCACACACAGTGTGTGTCTCTGTCTTTGTCTGCGATGCTCTCTCCCCTCCCTCCATTCCTGCTGCCTTGTAGACTGTGAGAGTTAACCCTTGAGGGCTCAGCCGAGTGCTAGTTCATCATTTAGCAGTAAGGCATTCCCTGGGAAATATCCCACCCTCTGACTTCACCACCTCAACCAAGCTTCACAATCATCATCGCTGTGTACCAGTATTAAATTGTTTGTTTAAAACTTATACTGTGTGTGTTATATATATATATATTAGTCTTTTGTCTGGTGAAAAAACATTCCCTGGAACCTAACCCCCCCATTTACATTAATTCTTATGGGGAAATTGGATTCGCTTAACACTGTTTCGCTTAAAGTCGCATTTTTCAGGAACAGAACTACAACGTTAAGTGAGGAGTTACTGTATAAGAAAAAGACCCAAAAATCAGGACTGTCCCTATAAAATCGGGACATCTGGTCACCCTAAAGCAGCTCCAGGCTGGCCTATTCTTCACAGGCATAGTTTGGGGATGGAGCTGGGGAAGGGGGGGTATTGCTCCCCCAAACTGCAAGTCTGGGGCGGGCACGGAATTTCCTCCCCTACGCTTGGCCCCATTGGCCTGACTGGAGCTGCCCCCACCCTCCATATATAGACATCAAACTATGCCTATGCTATTCCCCCGGTCACGGGGTGAGGTTCTGGCGAAGGGGCACTGTGATTCCCATCTGTCTCATGAGACATACTCCATGGGAGCGGGACAACAGGGTGGACGAGAGCCCCTCCCCCCATGGCCCTGCCTCCTCCCTGCACCCCTAGGCAACGTTCTGCCCCCATCACCAGCCGTGGGGCAAGGAGTCTGTGTGACTCCAGCCTGCAGCGTGGTCCCAGCCCGGCCCGGCTCCAGCCGTGGCCCCCGCTCACCAGGCACTGGCGAAGATCCCGTACAGCATCCCTTGGCCCCTCTTCCCCTCGCCCAGGACCACGGCGTCGCGCAGCTGGTTGAAGCGCTGGGGATGGGTGGGGCCGCCGCACACCAGCCTGGCCTGGAGGAACGTGGTCCAGAAATCGACCAGGAGGCTCTTCCCACCTTCATCCACCTGAGCAGGGCGGGGGAGGAAAAATCCCAGAGCTCTTCAGGCCTAAAGCACGGACGTTCCACCACAACCCCCGCCCCCCACTCCCCGCCACCAGATCCACACGTGGCCTGAACCACGTTGGCCAAAGCGCGCAGCCCCGGCCTGTTATAACAGCTAGAGTTGTTATAACTACACAGATGTGGCTCACACACATGGCTCACAAAACTGGTCCTTTTAGCTCCAGCTACACCAGCTCATGCTGCCAGGGTCTGCTGCTGACACTGTGACATCACCCTCGCAGCCATACCAGGCCTGAGAATGGAGATCTAGCCGAGACATTTGCCTTTCACTGCCAGCTCTCGGCCCGCGGGGTCTCCGTACCTTACACACGCGGCCCAGCCGGGCTTTGACCGGCTCTTCATCCAGCCCCGCTGTCTTGTTGACTTCGTTGTAGAAGAAGTAGATTTCATCCAGGTGGGACTCCTTTTCCGGCACCAAGGCAGCAGTGACGAACTCTGCCTCTGCGGGAGGAAAGGGGGATGGGGTGAGAAAAGAGATCAAAGTGTGTAAAGAAACCTGGCTGGAGCCGTGTGTGTGCCAGCACCACCACTAATTCCTTGGTCGATTGGCCAAGTCAAGATATGGGCATGGAGGGGGTCATGCGTGTCGCCAACCCCAGGCCCCTCAAAACAATGAGACTGGCTTTAAAATCATGAGGTTGACAAAAATAAATAAATGTGGGGTTCTGGTTATTCTGAGCCTTTAGGAATCACATTGTCCAGCTTTTCTCTGCAACCAGGAGAGCTAAACAATTCATATTTTAAAGCAAGCTGAGATTCTCTTGCAATGACAGGACTCAATGAGCTGGGGCTTTAAGAAGGACTTTAACTACTGTGAGGCTTGCAAGACGGTTGTGTGAGTTGGCTCTGCTGGATTGCATCTGTTTCATAGAATAATAGTGATCATCCCTCCCTCTCCCCAAAGGAGGTCAGTATCATTATCCCCATTTCACAGATGGGGAAACTGAGGCACAGGAAGGGACTTGCCCAAGGTCACCCAGCAGCAGAACCAGGAACAGAATCTAGGTCTCCTGTTCCCCACTCCAGTGCTCTATCCCCTAGGCCACGTTTTGGTTTGGGAATCAGAGCTTCTACTGGCAGAGAATCTGTATCATCTCTGCAGTGAGGGGCAGTGTGCCCATCCCTGACGTGCCAGCTTTTTCTGGATGCCATCTACCATGCTTGCAAATGTGTCTTTGAACCTTCTTCCTATTACCTTTCCAGCCTAGATTGCGAGAGCTGAAGGGTCTGAAATGCCAACCTGTGGAACTTCCTGCTGCAGGGGTTCAGCGAGGCAAAGGCTGTGGGGGCTGGACAGTTTTATGGCCAATATAACACAGAGCTCTTTCAGCTGAGACTGGGGTAATGGAGTTTGATGTTAAAGGGAACCAGATGATCACTCCAGCGGGATGGAGTGGCACACAACTCCCGGCCCGTGCAAGGTTTGACCCAGTGCGTTGCCTTGGGGTGAGATCCGCCTTCCTCTGCAGCATCAGGGACTGGCCGCTGCTGGAGGTGACGGATCTTTGGGGAAAGCGTCGGGCCCAGCCTGGCTGCTCTGACCCTCCCTGGGACTGCTCAATAGGAAAAGCCTCTTACTGACGAGCCATTTGTCTTCTGTCCTCAGCAGCTTCTTTGGGCCATAGCTTCTCTGGATGGTGCTTCTGTCCCGGGACAATGCCGAGTACAGGCTGCCCTCTGCAATATTAACCCAAGACAAAACAGGATGGGTGTTCTCCATGGGGCGGGGGAGGAGCCCCTGCCCCCTCCCCACCTTCTGGGGGAAGCCCCACCAGCCTCCTGTGGAGAATGCCAATATCCACTTTCAAGACAACAGAGAACCCTGCTCTACGGGCAGCAAAGAACAAAGCTTGTTCTTCATGGCCAGCCCCAGGTCACACTGGGAGACAGGGGTAGAGGAGGGCTTCCAATTGCCTGCTCTAACCACTAGCCCACATTCCCTCCCAGAGCTGGGAACAGACCCCAGGAGTCCAGGCTCCCTATCACCTCTCAGCAGAGTTCCAAAGCCCATCTGGGCTGAGGTGGGATCTCCTCCAAAGAAGGAAACTCCTTTATTGGCACCAGTCCTGCTCCCAACCTCCCCTGTCCGCTGGACCTTCCCATGGGGCTGGCTCGTCTGGGGCTATCACAGGCTGCGGTGGGGAAGCCCACTGCACGGGTCCAGTGCCACCTCCCTCTCCAACACCGCTGCTCTGGGACCTGGGATCCAAGCAGAGAACACACCCAAGGCGAGGCCCGGGGGGACCCTAGGTGGCTCTCCTCCCCCCACGTTCTATCTGGGGATGGAAAGAGGTGGATCTCCTTACCCACGGCGATGGCTGCAGCAGGCTGAGACGGTGAGGCCGGGGCGAGGCTCTCCCCGCTGATGGCAAGGGCTTGGCCCCGTTTGTCCTGCTGCAGCGTTCTGTCATTGGTCTGGGGAGGGAAGGGGGCGGGGGTTAAACCCAAGCCAACGGTTTTAATTGTTTCTATAGATCTTCTTACCCAAGAAGCTTCACAGACCTCAGCCCAGCTGGCTTCTTGCAGTCTGACATGCCTCTGATTCTAGTCTCCCCGAGAGGCAGTGCCCATCTTACACACAGGGGGACACAGGAGTCCACTGCGGAGCTGGGAATAGAACCCAGGAGTCCTGGCACCCAACTCCCCCCTGATTCAACCCCTACGCCCCACTCCACTCCCAGAGCTGGGAATGGAACCACTTCCTTAAGAGATGCCATAGGAGAATGAGCCCAGATTTGACAGGTCACAGGGCAATATGACAGACCCGGGGATGGAAATGTCCCAGTCCAGTTACGAGTGAGGGGACTGGTGCCCCCTATGCCCGTGGGCCATTCTCTATGCATTTCCCCCAGCCTCCCATGCTCACCAGGAACCAGCATTTGGGGGACCCCGCGTTGGTGCCGCAGACGATGATGGAGCTGCTGTTCAGCCTCTGAATCACCCGGATGAAGTTGTCACACTCGGCCTGTGGGAGAACCAGCCCCGACGCACAGCGGTTAGTGCTCATTGCACGGACCCGGCGTTAATGGCAGGAACAGACCCAGCCCGCAGCCTTTCACTGAGCAGGTAGATCTAAGACGGCCTCTGTGTGTGATTATATACCCACGATAGAGCCGCCATGGGTCACGGAGCCAGGGGCACAGCTGGGATAGAACCCATGAGTTCTGATTCCCCATCCTCTGCTCCCACCACTGGACCCCACTCCCCTCCCACAGCTGGGAACAGAACCCAGGAGTCCTGCCTCCCGGCCCCCCCTTTGCTCTACCCACTAGACCCCACCACCCCCATGCAACAGCTGCAATGCTGTCTGTGCTGTGGTAGCGGGACACTCCCAGGAAATGGAGAAACTGTGGCGGTGAAGGAAGCTCAGAGCAACTGCCCAGCTCCTTGGAGCTGAACCCTGGTGCGGTGAAGGGACCACCAGCCCTGCCCAGAGCACAGGCAAGGGGTCCCTCCATGCTCAGCACCGTGGGGGGGTCTCTAAGCCCCATTAGCCATCACTGGGGGGCTCAACATGCGGCTGGGGGAGTCGGTCGCTCACAGCTCAGGCCCGTCCCTCGCCAGGGTCCCCTCTCACCTGCACCGCCCCAGGCTTGCTCCTGCAGTTCTTCTCCACCTTCTCGTCGGCCTGCAGGGGAACCTGGGAGGCAGACGGGGAACAAAGCTGATCAGACCCTGATCTGCACCCCACCCCTGGCCACAGGTGGAAAGGCCCAGCGGGGTAGCCCTCAAGGGGATGGTGCTTCTGATCAGCCACAGGAGGGGTCCCGCAGGCCTCTGACCCTGGCCGTACCCCATCTTCCCACAGACCTCGTGGCCCAGCCCCGCCCCCAGCGACTATGCAAGGGGAGGGGGAATGTGGCATTAACCCCCTGTTTATCGGGGTCCCTTGTGCTCCCAGGGGGACCCGCTGCAAATGGAGATGGCCCCAGATCTCTCTTGCCCTGCGGCCTCGCGAGAGGAAAGCCCTGCTGTGGGATGGCAGGTGGCCGTCCCGTGGGTACCTGGCCAGCCGGCAGGTGGCCCCTGAGCCCGGCAAGTGAGATCAAAGGGGCTCTCCTTTCGAAGCCCAGCCCGGTCTCGGCTGGGAGCTGCCTTCCCCAGGCTGAGCTGATGGCCCAAGGAGAGGAAACTCGCCCGTAGGATCTGATGGAGCCTGTCCTTGCTGGGAGTCTCTTCTTTGTGCCTGAGCCGGTCTTCTCTGGAAGCCGCCGGATCTCTTCGCTGGCTTGTCAGCTCTGGGTTCTCCCGGCTGAGCATACACCATCATTGCAGGCTGGGGGTGGGGTGGGCTTGGCAGGGGCCAGGATAAACCCAATGAGGAGCTAGAGACCCCTACACACCCCCACCTCTTACCTGGGTCTGGTTGACCTCCGACTCCTTATATGTCAAGATGCGCAGTGCTCCCCTGCCCCCAACGTACAGCTGCTCAGATCCGGCATCATGGAAGAGGACTGTGGCCTTCTCCCCATTCTCGAAGCTCAGCACAGGAGAGTCTGGGGGCGGGAGTGGGGGGCAGGACGGGAAAGGAGGGGATGAAGTTTGCTGAAGGCTGAAATCCAGACTCTACCCCCTGCCTGTCCTTCCCACCGCCAAACCAGCTGGTTTCTTTCCTCTCTGAGGCAAATATGTTGCGATCAGCCCCCCCCCCCCCCCCCTTTTCCGAAGGGGAAACTGAGGGACCCCGCAGGGCCATAGTTGGGGACCGACAGTGGGCCAGCTGCCGTGCTGGGAAGAGAACCCGGCTCGCAGCACAGTTCGCTAGACCGCACAGCTTCTCTTGTGGTCGCCAGCCTCTCCCTGAGGCAACTCTTCGGGGCCCATTCTGATGCTCGGTCTCTCTTTCCGGACACTCGGTGCCAAAACTGGATGGGGGCTTCTTTGTAGTGTGGACACTAGAGACTGGACTGAGACCTGCCAAACTCATCCCTTGCCTAATGAAGGCTTAAAGAGACACCCTCGGTTCCTGCGACAGGAGCAGAGGGAAAAGCTAGCTCCGGCCGGCCTAATCCACATCTTACGAACGCAGGGGGCACTGGCGGACAAGCACACAGCTCTAGTGCGGCGTGCCCACAGTAGCTGATCCAGGCGCCTACACGCCCTGCTCTGTAACTGGGATGGTTCCAGGTGCTGTACAAGCCAATGCAGAAAGCTGGTCCCTGCCCTCCCCTTGGCACAGCTTATCATGCAGCAGGGAGCCCCATTATGTTTTCACTAGAGTAGTGATCATGGAATGGGCATGCAGTAGTGACAGGCATTTAGGAGTTTCTGATTCTGGTACTAAGGATCGGGGAGAGGGGGGCATCATGACGCACCCACACCAGGGATAGGGAGTGGCTGTTGGCTGGGCATCAGGCTCCGGAGGGTTAAATCATCTCTGGCTCTGGCAAGGAGCGCACCCCCACCTGCAGCAAAAATTCTCCTCTCCCATCAGTGGGTGGGGGCTGCAGGCATTGAGAGAGAGAGAGCAGACCTGGGGGCCCAATCCTGCCCCCTGCTGAGCTCAGGGGAGCGGGCCCTGCCTCTGATTCCGACAGACAGCCTCCCACCTCCTCTGATATGGGAGGATTTGGAGGAAACTGGGGGGAAATTGATTCTTAGGTCCCATCACTGGCAACTCCTCTAAAATGCCTTCCTACTAAGGGATTGCCTCTCAGGCTAGCCCAAGGGGTCCAGTAATGGACCCCCTTTTACCTCCATTGCCTCCCATGCCCTACCACTTACATGTCACTACCAAAGCAATGGATCTTCCTTCCCTCCCAGCGCCTCTTTCAGGGCAAACGTTTTCAGCCCCACCCTGCACCAAGCACCCCTTGGGTTTTTTGCTGCCAAGCAAAGACAGGCTTTGATTTCCCACCGGAGCAATGGGCAGAGCTGGACCAGGCCAGGGTTTGTGCAATGTGGCTTTTTCGTTCTCTGTGCGTCGAGCGGCAAAGGGAAAAAAAGACCCCACTCTGCTCCGGGAAACCGCAGAGCCATCAGAAAACCGCAGCTGCTGCATTATACCCAGATGTTGTTTTTCTCCCCCTGGCAAGCCACCAGCACTTCACAACGGCTTTTTCATTAGGGAGGTTCAGACTGGATTGTGCTGAGGAATTGGTCTCCTGGTAGAGGCTATTTTGGAGAGTAAGGCACGGATCATGCTGCAGCTGGAGGCACTTATCTGCATTGCAGAGGGTGCAGGGACTAGTCTATAACATCCCTAGTCCATCTTTCAGTAACAGAGGCACCAGCCGGCTCTTTAAACAGCTAGGAGTTAACCCTCAGCCTGTCAGTTTTGAATCAGATGGGAAGTGACTCCAAATGAAATCACTGATCAGGCTGCAGTTGTAACACCTGTCAGACCAACAGCCCAGATTGCAACTGGCAGCCAAAAAATAAATAAAAGTTTCCTTCTTGTCATCTCTTTAATCAAATCAATGTGTGGACCGGCCTTTAAGTAGAATATTCCCCCAACAAAACTCCCCTCCCCACCTCAAAAGCTGCTTTCTAAATCCCCCAACAAAACTCCCCTCCCCACCTCAAAAGCTGCTTTCTAAACCCATCATGCCGTCCGCCTTTTGCCCCCGATTAAACAATCCCACCTTTCATTTCCCATGGTCAAATCCACAGGAGGCCAATAGGAAATTATCCCCCGCGTCATACAAGCCAAGTCAAGCAAACAGTGAAAACAATATGAAATGAAACATACCGAGTGGATCAGGCATATGGCACCAGCAGAAGCATCAGAGCTTATCTCACCTTTAAGGGTAAACTTCAGTCTTGGTATCTTTTGGGCTGAACAGAACGCTGACAGGAGGAATAAATAGAAAGATCTCATATTTGTGCCCATGCAAGCGTCTCCGGAGAGAATTTTCTTTCTGATGTTAACTCTGCAAGAGCTGGCGCAGTGCTGTCTGTCTGCTTCTGCTCCTTGGGCTCTCTCTGGCAGGCTGTTCTGCAGTTTCGCATTTTATACCTGCTGTCCTGAGCCAGGAGATGTAACGTCAGCATAACTTCCTTCAAAGGGGGGGGGGGAATAACCCCCTCCGGGCTCCACAAAATGGAGCTCCACAAAACAGCTTCAGCAAGAAATTGCTCTTGTGGGGGAAGATGGGAAAATCACAGGGTGCCGGAGTGAGCTGCAGCGTGGTTTTAAAGGCCACCCATTCGGGGGTTGCTCATCAGGAAGAGGGCACGCCCTGCCCCTGGGATTTCCTAGCCCAAGCATCAGCCCTGCACTGGAGACACAGACGCCAGGCTCTGCATTTTGTCCTGGTTTCAGCGTGAAACCTCGTTTAGTGCAGAAAGGCTACCTGCCCTTGAGCCCAATCAGTGCCCCCCTTCTCCCACCGCTTAGCACGATCACTTGAGGCCGGAAGGTCGGTCCCCGGCATATATCTTCCGCGAGGACTCCAGGAGGGCTGCCCAGTAAATGATGCTCTCTGGAACAGGGGAGCTCTGAAGCTGGCAGGAGCTGGTGCTAACCCAGGCAGTGGGTGTCGTAAAGCCGAGGAGGGACTTTAGTTCCCCTAGTTAAAAGGCTTCTGCCAAAGGAACAGGTTGCCATGGTGATGGGCGCAGTGCTAGACAGAAGGGGCCTGGTTCTTGGCTACATCAGGGGCTCTGGTGAGTCATACAAGAGGCTGAAATTGCCCCCCCCCAAGACTCTCTCCTGTGCAGGGGACCTTTCTGGAGCTGAGATTAGCCTCTGCACTTGCCTTGCGCCCAGCCCCTGCTTCCATGGGGAGTAGAGCGTAGAATAGAGCAGCCTCGGGGCTGCTCTAACTGGCGCTGAGGCAGGGCCTTGCACAGCCCCAGAATACTGGGAGCAGAAAGGTGGCTTCAAGGCAAAGCCAGCCTTAACCACACCTACCGTATGCAACACTCTGTCCCTCTCAAGCCACGGCTGGGCCACATATTGGGGTTGATCAGCTGCTGTGCCTGACAGACCCAAGTCACTTAGCTCAGGCAGCGAAGGTGCCTGTGTATAGACCCAGAAATCCCAGGTTCAGTCAGGGCTGCTGGTGACCCACCCAGGGGTGTGGGGGTAACACTGGATTTGTCTCTCCCCTGAGTGCAGGAATAGAGGCAGGCCCATGGCATTAAAGCCATTTAAAATCTGGGCATACACACAGCGGCGGGGTTACAAGCACTCCTCCCGCTGTGTGACTGCTGCCTTCCCCAGGTGCCGCGACCCAGCCTCCTGCTCTGGGGCCAGAACCAAACGTGGCCTCAGCTGCTGGGACTTAAAGGACTGACCACCTGGTTGGCGAGCAAAATTGGGCAGGGGTCTACGTGAGCCCAACTGTGCCCACAAACCCGACTTTAAAACCAGGCCCGGGACTGTTGCTCGTGTCCGGTTTATCTGCTCCACTGATGGCACAAGGAGGCCAAGTGCAAAAACCTCCAAACGGCCACTCAGGTTTGGACACCTCCATTTTTTGGGGCCCCAGTTTGAGATGCCCAGGGCCTGCTTTTCAGAGATGTGGCTCTCCTGGCCGTCAGCTGGATTTGTGGGTCACCACGTCTCTGAAGATCAGGCTCCAGATGTCTCAGATTGGGTTGAAGATGTCAGCTCTGGGAGTCGGCGTCCGGGTTGGGGACTAGAACTGCCCACATCCGAGCCTCGCCCGCCAACCTCTCCACAGGAGGGAGCGCTCACTCGTCGCTGCTCGGAGTCTCATTTTGGGTTAGACCAGCTTTGCAAACGATGCCGCCCCCAGCGTGGCGCTCTTTATCTTTGCACTTTCCCAAAGTGTTATTCCTGCTGGGCCTTGCCCATGACAACGGAGCATGGAGCGAAGCCATGAAGATGTTGCATTCTGAATGCCCGAGTGAGCCCTAGACACACAAGATGAGGATAAGAACATACTGGGTCAGACCAATGGCCCATCTAGCCAGTATCCTGTCTTTCGACAGTGGCCAGGTGCCAGATGCTTCAGGGGAAATGAACAGAACAGGGCAATTTTGAGTGATCCATCCCCTGTTGTCCAGTCCCAATTTCTGGCAGTCAGAGGCTAGGGACACCCAGCGCATGGGATGGCGTCCCTGACCATCTTGGCTAATAGCCATTCATGATCCTCTCCTTCAGGTGCTTTTCTTTTTTGAACCTAGTTATACTTTTGGCCTTCACAACATCCCCCGCTGGTGAGTTCCACAGGTTGACTGTGACGACTTGTGTTCTGTGAAGAATACCGTACGCTTGTTTTAAACCTGTTGCCTATTAATTTCAGCGAGTGACCCCCGGTTCTTGTGTTCTGTGAAGGGGGTCACGGCCCTATTCACTAACACGGCCCTATTCACTTTCTCCGCAGCGGTCATGATGTTATGGACCTCTATCCTCTCCCCCCTTAGTCGCCTCTTTTCCAAGCTGAACAGTCCCCGCCTTTTCAATCTCCCCTCGTACGGAGGCTGTTCCATACCCTAATCATTTTCATTGCCTTTCTCTGTACCTTTTCAGGCAGCATTTCAGCTTCTCCAACCCCTTGGCGATGCTCCCTGATCCGGGTTGGTTCTGTTGGAAGTGACTCCAGGTTTGAATGCTTTCCCAGCCTGACTTCTGCATTTTCAGCAGCATTAGACTGAATAAGCTCCTCCCCACACCCCCCAACCACTATGTCTCATGTCAGTGCCTGTACCTCTCCCCTTAGCCACAGGGGGGCTGAAAGTGCTTGAGTCCGTATATTAGACAGACTTCTCAGGTGCTGACATGCAGCTGCCTCTGGGGTGGAGCACAGCAGCCATTTTAAACGTGTTATTGAGCAAAGGGGGAATTTAGGGATCCGGGTGACTGCCCCAGGAATGGGCCTGTAATGGGTTATATCCCTCCAGCCCCTCCATGAGGAAAGGGTGGGCATGGTTCCTGCCAGAGTCCAGCCCTGCTGCTCAAGGCATCTGCCCTCCCCGTAATCCAACCACAAAGAGTCAGGGGGCTTCCCCAGCATGCCAAGGCCGAGCCCCAGACAAGAACCAGTCCCCCCCACTCCCCCCAAGGGCCTGGGCAGTCAAGACTTTCAAGCAGGTTCCCCAAGCAGAAACCCCTTCTTCCCTGGGCTCCTGTCCCCTGCTCCTCCAGGGACCCCCCCCCCAAACTGAGCCCGGATCTTCCCTTCGAAGCCCCACCCATCTCCAGGCTGGACAAGTGCCGCAGGTGGGCTGGGTCAGGGCCCATGGCGCCCAGCGGGACTCTCATTTCTTCCCGCCTGGCCTGGGGAGTTGACCCAGCTCGGGAAAGCTCTTCAGGGCTTTAGCTATTGTAAATCTACAGCGGCTCCCGCGCTTTTTTTGCTGCATTCTGGAAGGCAGGGCAGGACAGGGCAGCGACTCAGGCTGAGCGTCCCATCCGCACTCCTGGCTAGTGGTTAGCGCATGGGGAAGGGGGGCCAGGACTCCTGGGTTCTAATCCCAGCTCCGTGAGGGGAGAGGTCTTCTTAGTGGTTGGGGGTGGGTTGGGAGCTAGGAGCCCTGGGCTTTATTCTCAGCTCGGGGAGGGGAGTGGTTAAAACATGGGGGTGAGGAGTCAGGACTCTTGGGTTCTCTTCCCAGCTCTGGGAGGGGAGTGGGGGCTAGTGG